AGGAGACAGTGAGTTCTAGTCCCACCTTAGGCATGAAAGCTGGCTGGGTGAATTTGAGCCAATCACCAGGAAACGGTGAGTTCTGGTCCCACATTAGACATGAAAGCCAGCTGGGTGACTTTGGGCCAATCACCAGGAGACTGTGAGTTCTAGTCCCACATTAGACATGAAAGCTGGCTGGATGTCTTTGGGCCAATCACCAGGAGACTGGGAGTTCTAGTCCCACCTTAGGCATGAAAGCTGGCTGGGTGAATTTGAGCCAATCACCAGGAGACTGGGAGTTCTGGTCCCACCTTAGGCATGAAAGCTGGCTGGGTGAATTTGAGCCGATCACCAGGAGAGTGGGAGTTCTGGTCCCACCTTAGGCATGAAAGCTGGCTGGGTGAATTTGAGCCGATCACCAGGAGACTGGGAGTTCTGGTCCCACCTTAGGGATGAAAGCTGGCCGAGAAAGGAAAAGACTGGAGGAAGAGGAGAATATTCTGAACCTACTTCCCCAATCCAACTCTCCTAGGTCCTAGACATCTATAGGTTAAAGAAGGCAACCCTAAGATGCTTATAGGATTATGACCGTAGTCAGCTGATGGAGGAGGGGGGGGAAATCTGCCTTTTCTAAAATCTGTAGTGTAGGTGCATTCCTGGTGCTGACAAACGTCAGTGCATTCCATTTCTACGTGTTCGTTTATATCTCAAGACAAAGAATTCAGTCAACCCGATCAAAAATATTCCCCCACTCTACTCCAAATTGCCTCAGGCCGTGCTCATGCTGCAACTAAAGAATGAGACTAACCACCAACCAGCACAGAAAAATCCTCACAATATCACAGAGAAATACAGAAAAGTCAACATTACCCTTACACACACCCCCACCCACATAACGCTAGAGCTAAAAGAACTTTCGAAGTTTCCGAAGAGAAAAACATCTTGTGATTTTTGACAGAGATCATGTGCTTACAATGTAAAGGGAAAGTACATTACTGTTACACACACACACACACACACACACACACACACACACACACCCTGCAGAGAGTTCTGTAAAATTTGCATCCAAGGACCTGGGCCAAAACAACAACACGCGATCTTTTTATAAAAGTCCTTTAGACAGCCTGACTCTCTGAAATAAATCTCGCTTTGCAACATTACACTTCCGAAATAGTGAATCACGCACCATCTCAGCTATTTGCGCATCAGTTGACAACCCAATGAAAATGGGAGAAATAGAAATTATTACTAATTCTCATAGAGTATGCGTCATCATTAGGACTGGAACATTTATTTATTTTTTAACCACCGGGACATTTGTATCAACCCAGAACTCCACAGCTTTTCCACTTCTATTCACTATACTGGTGAGAACAGGGTTCACTCCTGGGACATTTTAGGCAAAAAAAAAAAAAAAAAATCCAGACAGCAACATCAAACTGCTTCTGTACAGTTTCTAGAAAAACTATATGGATAAATCCAAGAGGTTACCAAGAATTAAGCAGATCTCAAAGGATGCTCTGCCTTTTAAGAAAAGATATATACGTATTGTAATTATCTCAATAAAAACACCATAAACTGTTTAATGGAGCTTTCTATAGTTACAGGTAGACCTCAACTTACAACCACAAGTGAGCCCAACATTTCTGTTGCTGAGCGAGATAGTTGAGTTTTACCTCTGTTTTAACTACCTTTCTTGCCAGAGTTGTTAAATGAATCACTGCAGTGGTTAGGTTAGCAATGTGGTCGTTAAGTGAATCTGGGTTCCCCATTGACTCTGCTTGTCAGGAGGTCTCAAAAGGAATCACATCAGTGGTGGGATTCAATTTTTTTTACTACTGGTTCTGTTGGTGTGGCTTGGTGGGCGTGGCAGGGGAAGGAGACTGCAAAATCCCCCTTCCCTCCCCACCCCACTAACCTGCTTTCCAGCTCCGTTCTCCTGTGCAGGGCAACAAAAGAAGATCCAGCCGATCAGCTGGGACTCGGGAGGTGGAGAATAGATGGGGGGTGGGGCCAGCCAGAGGTGGTATTTGCTGGTTCTCTGAACTACTCAAAATTTCCACTACCGGTTCTCCAGAACTGGTCAGAACCTGCTGAATGCCACCTCTGGATCACGTGACCCTATGACACCGCAACCGCCATAAATATGAGTCAGTTGGCAAACGTCTGAATTTTGATCACATGACCAAGGGGATGTTGCAGTAGTCGTAAGTATAAAAAAATGGTAAGTCACTTTTTCTCAGTGCCTTTGTAACTTCAGTCACTAAATGAGCTGTTGCTAAGTCAAGGACTACCTGTATAATCTATATTATCTATATAGAGATTATAAAAAAGATAGGCAGGAAGAATAATGGTGACTGAAACCACACAAGACCATGTGACTATATTGTCCAACCGCACCATATTTCCCTGAGCCATGGATTTCACTGTTCCACTCTTAAATCATTCATAGGCAATTCCTTTGGTAAATAGGGACATTAGTAGCCATAGACAAAGTTATTAAAACATTATACACACAGAGAGACCAAAACTGGTCTTATTAAAACATCAATGCAGCACTATTTTTATGATTACATTCTCGAAAACCGGAGTTCATGACAAACAAGACATTCCGTGATTAAATTTGACTTAACCGTTCATGTTATAGATTGTTAAGATACACCCACAAATTCAGGGTTGTTATTTACACAAAGGGAATGCAGTGTCCAAAGTCTGGAAGAGAAAACCAACTTTCTTCTGCCCTTTTGTTGGCAAGCCTTTCTCAAAAAGAATAATTTCATGGGTAAAATGTGGCATTTATTGATGTTTTAGAAAACCGGATAATTAGGATATTTAAAAACAAAATTGGTTTTTGTTCATTTGGTGCCTGTGAGGTTTTATTTTTCCTTGTCACAGATGTACATGGAAACAACGTAAGCATTTATTGGCTGTGAAGTAATTAAATTTCAGTCTCATTAGTTAAAATTAAGATTGCCAACATTTGGAGTTTTTAATTTAAACAAAACTATGCCCACTTTTAACTGTGGCCTAATTCAGGTAAAGTAAATGTGCTAAAAACAAATGTCAGCAACCTTATTACATCTCTGAAAACCTGAACAATCCTGAACTGGCACTTTTGGGGAAACGCATGATACCGTCACTATAGCAACTACAATTTTTAGTGTATGGAGATGTGCCAGTTTGCCTCCTTTTATGATTTACTCAATAAAAGTCTGTTTTCAAGAGCTTTCCCTCCCTAGCAATTGGCTGTTTTTTTTAATTAACTTCTCTCTCTCTCTCTCAAATTTAACAGAACTGTCTTAGATTTGAACTCCTTTGAGCTGTGGTGCTAAAGGTAACTAACAAGCACTGCACTGGAAAGAGAAACAAAAGAAAATCACAAAACTGCTGTCTAGCTTACTTTGGCCATATCATGTGGGGAAATTCACTGGAGAAAGCAATTATGCTTGGAAAAGGAAGAGAGCACAGTGGCTGCACACCATCAATGCTGACATCAGCTAGAGAGCATAGAACGACTCAAAGAAGTCATGCACAATCAGAAGAGGTGGAGAGTCCTGGCCCTTAGAACCACCAAGACTTGACTGAACAGATCGTATCATCGTCATCACAATGAGTTGCAAGCCCCAAGAGAGTATTGGGAACGGGGGGGGGGGTGTCTTTTGCTTACCATGCCGCCAAGGGTCCTTAGGCTCCACAGCACCAGACACGATGTCTTCATCGGAAGGGAAAGTCACGTGCTTTGCTCTGAGCTTCCCCTCATCCATAGATGGAGAACCTTGACTTAACAAGTCACCTGCTGGTGTGTCCCCACTTGGTGGTGCTTCCAAGCTTAAACAGCAGCTCTGAGAAGAGGACTCAGCCTTGTCGTGCAAATGGTTATTTTGCTCGGCGGCAGACCGTTCCTTGTCCCTAAGGCATTCTTGAGCGATCATCCCAAGAGGTTCTGCGACCAAAGAGTTGCCGCCAGCCGCTTCGTTGACCGGCGACCGTTCCTGCAGATGGTTAAAAGCCTCCTGCAGATGGTTCAAGTCCTCCTCTGTCCCGTCGCAACTCTCTGTCTCTTTCGGGTCCTCCTTTAAAGAACATGAGGCACAACGCTCTACAGTATCTTGGACATAAGGGTGGTCCTGGAGGGAGGGAAGGGTCTCTGTACTTTTGGAACAAAACTCCTTAGTGTCTTGAAACGTCTTCATACCATCTTGTTGGGAAGCAGGCCAGGGGTCAGAGCCCCCCAAAAGGATCTCCTCTTCCTTCCGCACAGCAGGGGCAGGCAGCAGCAGCAACACACGGTCCCCCTCAGCAGCTTTGCTTTGTTGCTGCACAGGTGAAACCTGCACACACTCCATAGCCAGGCAGGTGAGATGGGGGTCTGTCAAAGGGGGAGCTCCTTCTTCCCTTCTCATGAGTCCTTTGGAGTCATTACTGATGGGACAGAACTCACCTTTTCCCTTCCTATCTTTTGCTGCCCACTCCTTCAGGTAAAAGGGGGGGGGGGGGGGAAAGCTCTCACGTTTTCCAGGCCTCCTCCCTATAAGCAGTGGGGTAAAGAGACCCAGCTCTTGTTGGACCAAAGGAAGCTGCTACATGAAGCATGAGTGAAGATTAAAAGAAATTGGGGGCAGGGAAGGAGGAGGAAGAGAGACAAAACGCAAGGCCCTCTCTTTTTCTCTGTGTAAACCCCTTGTTTGATATTAGAAGAAAGCGACTGCTAGAAGAGACACACAGCATGAAGGGAACAGCCCGGATTGGGGAGAGGGATGAATTTATGAGGGGAGCGGAGGATGGATCCCAGCAATCCCTTCCTTAGCCTGCAAAACAGAGAAAACGGTTCGGTTTCATTATCCTTCCCAGTAAAAAAAGATCAGGCAAGGTATGCCTAAGCCGGAAATGCATCGGAGCTTCAATAAACCTAAATCCGTCTTGGCAGCAGCTTCTTCTCCCACCCCAGCAAAGAGGGAAGAGAGGGAAGGAAAAGTTTACACAAGCATGAAACCCTCGAGGCCCACAAAATAAATAAGGCGGAGCTGTCAGAAGTCAAACCAAAAAGCACCAGGAAAAAAAAAAGGGGGGGGGAGAATCGACTCTGGTGCAGAAAAGAATTAAAAATAACAATAAATGAGGGGGTGTTGTTGCTCTTTGCAGAAGCATGCACGTGCAAGGAAAAGTTGGGGGGAATTATCCCCTGCGTCCAATCTTGGGGGCGGGGAGGAGGATAGAAATATATATATTTCTAAAAAAAGGGGGAAGTCACCGTCCAATGGGGGGTGCAGGAACGGGACGTCTCTGGGGAGGAGGCAAGCCGGGGATGCAGAGAAGGAACCTCTCCAGATAAAAAAGAAAAACAAGCAAGCAGGCAAGCAGAAACTCCAAGCGAAGGAGAGAGAGAGAGAGAGAGAGGATCCCGCCCAGGAGAACGGCTTTCTTCCCAGGGAGCGGGGACTGGAGACCCCCTTCCCCCACTTACTTCGCTGGGAGGGGGGGGGCGGCGGCAGAAGAGAGGCCGCCCGGGAGGAATATACGCACCCGGGAGGAGCGGAGGAGAGCCGGGACTCGGGGGTGGAGAGGAGGACGGGAGGGAGGCCCAAAGCCGCTGGCGAGGCAGGGAACGGCGCAGGAGGAGCAGCCGGCGCAAGCGGCGACTAAGGCCCGCCGTCGCCTCAGCCAGGTGCGGACGCAAAAGAACACGCCTCTCTCTCTCTCTCTCTCCCCTTCGCCGCCGCCAGGACTAAGTGCGCTTGCGGCCTCCGCATCAGCCGTCGCACTTTCGATAAAGCGCTGCCCGGCGCGGCTCGCCTTTCCTTCCCGCTCTTTTCTCCTCATCCAGAGGCGGCCCTCGGATTCCCACACCGGGCTTTCCCTAAGGAAGGTCCCGCGTTGTTTTTTGGTTTTTTTTTTAACCCGGCCGGTGGGGGTTTTGCCAATCGGCGAGCGGGTTTTGCGGGCCCGCGCCCGGAGGGAAGCCCCCCCCCCCTCCCCCTCTCCCCCTCTCTCTCGCCCCCCCGCCCCCCCCCCCGCTCCTCCTGGCTGGCCTCCCTCCCCGCTCGCCCCCTCCCCTCCCCGACTCCAGGGAGTGAAAGCGCCTGGTTTGGGTTTCCGTTCCGCACTTTCGGTTTTGTTTTTCTTTTTTTTTGTTTTTCTTCACACGGCGCCTCGAGGAAAGGGAAACCCTGTTAAAAAAAAAAATCTCACCCCGGGTGGTTTCAGAGCGGAGAGTGAAACCGGATTTTAAAAACGCAAAATTCAAAAAGAAAGCCCGCGGGCGAGACCGAAAGAGGATCTCGAATATGCCGATAAGGGAAGCGGACTGAGCCAAAAAAAAAAAAAAAAAACCACACAACCCGCCTGACTGACGAGAAGCTCACGCTTTCTCAGCTCACTTTCCCAAGGCTTCGTAAGGGGAGGGGGTGGGGGGGGGAGGGGGAACAAGGAAAAAAAAAAAAAGAATGACTGACCGGCGCATGCGCCTCGCTGGTCTCCCGGCTCATTAGACTAAGGTCATAGATTTGGCAGTCCTCCTCTGGCCAGAGAGGACCTAACCGTTTAAGGGATTGGCTTAAGGAAGAGCTTCAAGTGTTTCCGGGCAAAGAGGTCGCGTCGCTTTTCCCTTCACCGTTATCTCGTCGGTTTCTCGTCGCCTCAGGAGGAGCGAATTTGAGGCTCTCGTGAGGAGCTAATTCCAGCCAGGCGCGTGCAAGTTAGTTCACGTGAATTATAGAGTTTTTACGGGAATGTTACTTTTCTGGGCCAAGGGGAGGTCGTTAGGGTTAGGTATCCCAACCAGGCGTCATAATTATTAGGCTTCCTTACCCTGCTGGGCCTTTAATCCCGTCCATCTATTGATCCTCGTGGTTGATTTTCGGCTCTAAGTGTGCTATAACCCGCATGAAACAAACCAAGCCAGGATTTTTTTAAAAACCCTTTGTTAGCCCAGAAAACTCTTTTTTAAACCAGGGTTTCTTAGATAGGAAATCAGAATCTTGGTTTGTTTTGTACCTTCCCCACCTGGGGGGGGGGGGGGGGGGCACAAAAAAACTCAAACTCAAACAAACCAGGAATTGCTTTTATGGGTTATAATCCATATCTGGATTATGCACATTGTACCCTGTTTTCCTGAAAATATGACCTACCCTGAAAGTTAGTCCTAGCTTGATTTTTACACACGAGCCCAATATAAGCCCTACCCCCCCCCCTAAAATAAGCCCTAATTAAGATCCCGCCCACTGCAAAGTGGACTGGTAAAAATTAGGGTGGGGGTGGAGCTGCCCTACTACTTACCTGTGGACTGTTGTACCCAGGGCTTGCTCCCCCACACACACCTGCCTTGCCCTCCCATTTCTTCTGCAAAGCTTTCTTGAAGGCCTCTGTAGCTGATAACAAAGCTCTGGATCGATCCAGAGCTCTGTTATTGGCTGCAGAGGCCTTCAGGAAAGCCTTGCTGGCCACAGAAGAAGAAGTTCCTGAAGGCCTCTGACAGCGAAAAGGAGGGACAACGCATGCAAGTGAGGTGAGTCAGTGAATAACATCCCCCGAAAATAAGACCTGGTGCCCTTTTTTTGGTGGCAAAAAAAGGTAAGACGGGGTCTTATTTTCGGGGGAAACAAGGTAGATAGGAAATTGGAATCTTGGTTTGTTTTGTGCCTCCCCCACCTCTGGGGGGAGAGGCACAAAAAAAATCCCCCAAAACCCAAACAAACCAGGAATTGCTTTTATGGATTATTAACTTTTTGTTAACGTGGATGGCTTGATGTAAACAAATGATGGTTAACCAGGCTTGTTTATTGCCACGTGGGATGTAGCCTCCATCTGGATTATGTGCATTGTATAAGACACATGTGGCTGGGTTCACCCCACTTAGGTAATGGTCAGTAATGACCAGTTAGGAACTAGACTGTGGCTGTTTGGTTTAATGGGATGTCTCAGAGTGCTTTTGATTCGCTAGGTTAGATACCAGATTGTTGTGTGTTCAAATTTTGATGTTCCCTCAGTATCAAATCTGAGGAAATTCACTATTCCTGGACAACGTGTTACGAACCCACAGAGGTGGCAGTTGGACCTCTCTAGTTCGTAGCACAGTTGCCCAAGCATTTTGGGTTTCCTCAAATTTCCTACAACAGTCAGAGACCCTGATGTTATGATAATGTTATGATGGGTTCAAGAAGACTCTTTGTGTTAGATTCCATTCCCTTTCTGACCAGAGAGTAATGATCTGGGGAAACCCATCATTCTGTGCCACCTTCTAAGGCCCCATGAGATTGCAGCCAAAATGATGGGTAAAAAGCTGCATGCAGTTGAAAGACTGGATTGTTCTACCGCTTAAGAAACTTATGTGCCAAATATTTGCCTTCATAATTCTGATTAAAACAACATTTTGACTGGAGAAATTACCCAAAGCTACAAAACGGGTGTAAATACAGAAAACAAAGTATTATCGAATGATCATTTCATGGATATCTTTCTCTTTAGTTATGTTTTAGTTATGCTCTTAGTTTCAGCATGTCTGTCTTGTTTTAATTTTGGCCTGGGCTCTTATTGTGATAGGCTTGATAAATATTTCATGTATTGTTCATCTGATGGCTGTCATGTCTGTAAGAATATCTAGATACTCGTTAATAAGGAGCAGGTAATTTCATGCATCCCAGTTGTTTTGTGCTCCAGCTCCCATAGTCCCTGCTAGTTGAAAGTGACATTATATTCAGAGTGATTGTTGATCGATTGTTGCATTAAAAGGTGGCAGGCAAAAATGATTAATTGCTCACCCATGAGATTAATCACAACAACCGTCCTGTTTTCAACAGGGTCCTGCAGAATGTGGCCCCCGTGGGAAGATATCCTTGTAAAAGCCTTGAGCTATTGCTGATCTTTGGGAATAAATTAATTCCGCAGGGGAAGATCCTGTTTAGCTCCTTGCCTGCGGTGATTTTGTACTGACCTTTTGCAACAATACATGAAATGCCTTTGACAGGCCCAACTTTATTGTCCGTCACTTTTACTGAGAGACTCCCCTAGTTTCTAATACTGAGGAAAGACCATCCTGTGCACTTTGGCTTCTAGCGGCACCCGCATCCCTCCACCACCATGTCTTGATAGGTCTTGAGGACAACCATATCGTTCTGGTCTAGGTAAAGCATAGCAATGGGGCTGAGCTCTGTGGGGACACAGCACGCCTTGGGCACTTTGGCGTTCACCGAGTTCAGGATGGTCTGCACCACAGCATGACTGGAAGAGTTCATGTGGTCGGCCAGCGGGAAGCGACAGTCCCCCGCGCAGTAGAAAGCATGGTAGCCACTGGGAGCAATGATCCAGTCGTTCCACCCCACCGCCTTGAAATCCACAAACAGGCGGTGCCTTCTGCACCCGGTGCTGCTTTTCACCTTCGGCCTCAGGTGCTTGTGCTTCCTGGCAGAGGCCGGGACTTTAGTCGCTCCCCTGCCTGTAACAGGGTGGCTTCTGCTTTGCCTTTTTCGGTGGGTCAGAGGTTGCCCTCTTTGGTCATGGCTGTAGGTGACCAGTAAAGGTCTTTCAAGAGCCCACTGAGCCTCCTCTTGGCCAGGAGAGCGTCTTGCCCGGAGGGAAGTCTGCTGGCACGGAAGATCGCGGCTGCGGTTCGAAGGCTGCACCTCGACCAGAAGCCCCAGGTTATGCTTCCGTTCTCTTGCTTCCTGGAAAGCAGCCGTCACATCAAAACTCACCCATTTGGGCTGGCTGGGCGTCACAAATTTGCACGTGAGGAGCTGGCTTTTGTTTGGGGACACCGGTGGGGGATCCACAGCATGGTAAACGTGGATATATAAGCCCTGACTTTCCTTAGGGGAGTGGTAGAGGCGCAGCTCAAGGGCAGTCAGCTCCTCCTCCGAAGGCAGCACGGTGAGGTTGAACAGGAAGTAGAACGAATTTCCTGCGCCTTCAGAGACATGCGCCGAATCCTCTAAATGTGAAAAAAATGAGCAGAAGTAAGGACAAATTGGGACAGACATTTCGAATCAAATAACTGCTTTGCTGGAGTTGGCAGGAAGTCTTTTCCCCTGCTGTTTATGTCCTTCTACAGCCAACCAGTTGCATCTGGGAAGCTCACAAGTGCGGCCAGGAGACAACAGCATCCCCTTCCTTGTCACTTCTATCTAGAAAACAGCACCTGCACCAGGTAGTCCTTGCCTTACGACCACAATGGAGCTCACCATTTCCTTTGCTGAGCAAAGACAGTTAAGTAGGTTGTGCCTCATGCCTCGTTTTACAACCTTTTAACCACAGTTAAGCAGATTGCTTTGATTGTTAAGTGAATCGCTATGGTTGTTAACTGAATCATGAGGCTGTTAAGTGACTCGGGCTCCCCTCCCCCAGTGACTTGGCTTGTCGGTAGCCGGCTGGGAAGGTTACAACGGTGGTCATGTGAGACCCCAGGACACTGCAACGACCGTCATAAATATGAACCAGTTGCCAAGTGCCTGAATTGTGATCATGTGACCACTACTAGGAGGCTGCGACAGGCATAAGTGTGAAAATCAGTCATAAGTCACTTTTTTCCCCCTGCGATTGTAACTTCGAACGGTCGCTAAAGAAATGGTTGTTAAGTCGAGAACTACTGAACTGCCTTTAAAATAGAAGTTTTAGTCTTTGGTTCCGTAAGGCAGAGTTCCCCAACTTTTCCAGCTTTGCAGACCAGTTGCAGGGGGCGGGGGAGGGAGGAATGGTCCACACAAGCGGCCGGCAAATATGCACACAGCTCTGTTTGCACTGGGGGTGTGCGTGCACACCTGCCACTCATGCAAAAGGAGTGCATGTGCACTCACCCACTATTTGTGCAAGTGAGCACGCTCGCCATCTGTTTGCCACAGCCCAGTTGCGACGGCCCACATGTTAAGGACCATTCCCCTGCCAGAAGAGGAACATTGACTAGCTAGAATGGGATCCAAAGCCAATTACATTTAAGCCTCAATGCTTTTGCCTTAAGAAGAAACGGAAGTTTTGGAGCAAGCTCGAAACACATCATTTACTTTTATGGCTTATCGGGTGAGACCGGCAACTTCCTTCTGTGGCTGTAAAAGAACAACCACACAAGGAAGTCGCCAGTTTAACACACACTCTTTTCTCTGAACTGAAGAATATTTTAGCCGCTGAAATTGGCAGTCAACCAATCTTTGGGGAGACCATTGCTTTCCTTGCTCCATAGATGGCACCAGAAGCCAAATTAACGTCTTTTAGCCCAGTTCTCACCTCAGCAGTGAAAGCACAAGGCCCCCATTTTCAAGAGTAAACAACAACAAAATACAGTGACTTCCATAGATACAGTTGGGGAAGCTAAATGTCTGTGAAGATTTTCAGTCATCCAGGCCCTGGTTGCCCCAAAAGTCCTTTTGCAAAAGGCCACTGGGTCTGTTTCTCCTCTTGGGGAAGCCTTTAGGCATTTGGCTGATTGATATCACGTGGAGTATTGCTACCTTTACCAGTAAGACCACACCTGGAATACCGCAACCAATTTTGGTCACCATACTACCAAAAAAAAAAAAGTTGAGACTGTCACTAAGAGGAAGGAGTCAAGCTATTCTCCAAAGCACCAGAGTGCAGGACAAGAAGCAATGGATGGAAACTAACCAAGGAAAGAAGCAACCTGGAATTAAGGAGAAACTTCCTAACAGTGAGGACAATTAACCAGTGGAACAGCTGGCCACCAGAAGTTGTGGGCGTTCCATCACTGGAGGTTTTTAAGAAGAGACTGGACAGTCACTTGTCTGAGGTGATATAGGTTCTCCTGCTTGAGCAGAGGGCTGGACTAGAAGACCTCCAAGGTCCCTTCTAGCTCATTCTATTCAATCTTTCTAATTTTGGGTCATGTCGTTTGGTGGGTCTGCCAGGGAATATTTAAAAGAGTTAAAAGAAGTCAGGCTGAAGATCTGCCTAGCTTGGCACTGGTTGCTTTAGAGGCCGCAGATTCTTACGAAGAGGTTTCACCCTGTCTCCGACCTAAACTTTTGGCCTGGAAGTAGCTGGTGATTCGCTCCTGGGATCTTTAGCTTGCCAACTTGGGCTCTATCCATTGAGCTAAGTCCTTTCCACTTAAGCACTTGTGGCTTTCTGCCCCTTGGCTCTTTTTTCAAGGGAATTTTATACGTGCCGATTCCTGCCGCCACCTTAATCTTCGTGCCTCGGTTCCCAAAGAGATCCAGCCTTTCTCTCCCCTCGCTCCTCCCTCAGCCCTGTTTACGGTGGGAAATTGAGCAAGGGTCTCACCAACATGATGGAAGGTGCGCACGGTGTTGGCTGTCGCCGCTCGAGCCTCCAGGAAGGGTTGCTCGGTGTCCTTTGGAGAGGCTGGAAGCCGCCTCAAGGAAAAACGGTATAAATCCAGCAGGTACTGGGGGACCAGCAATTTGGGTTTGGGGTCTGGGCGCCTTTGCAAGCCCAGCCGTTTCAACAGAACACTTTGGAAGGTTTGGAGGGGAAGTTGCTCCGGGATACGTTTGCTTGCGGGCTCCGCAGTGCCTGGGGATGCCATCTGAAGACTCTCAGATGCCCAGAAGGCGAGAGGTACGAGTAAAATCACCCAAACAGACAAGTTACCAGAAACCATTGTGGAACTGGAGAAGTTGGGGCTGGTGAAGGAGGAGAGGGAGAGAGAGAGAGAATGATTGATAAATATAGCATATAAGAGAAACATCATTTGGAATATAGCATGTAAGATAAGATAAACATCATTCCCCCAGAGATTAGAATGGCCCCCTCTCTAATACTCTTCTGGAAGGCACTGAAGACCTGGTTCTGCCAGCAGGCCTGGGGGACCCAGAGTGGGATGGAGCCCTTCAAATGGCTCATGGGATCTGCTGTCAGCAGGGCGAGGGGGAGGTTGTGAGAGCTGCGGGTGATTTTTTATTTTATTTTTTTCCAAATTTTGTTCTATTGTACTTTATTAATTTGATTCTTTTTATTAGTTTTTATCGTTTTTTTTTTAAATTTTAAATATGGTTTTACATTCTGTAAGCCGCCTCGAGACGCCATGGGCAAATAGGCAGCAATATAAATTCAATAAATAAATAAATAATCTTTATTGCCACTTTTATTTCTGAGCACTCACTGGCACACATTAAAAAAGGAAATTCTCGGCGCCCACTCTGCAAAGAAAATACAGCGAATAGAATTTTTAATTGGCCAGGTGTGATTGGACACTCGAGGAGTTTGTCTTCGGGGCAGAAGCTCACAGTGTAACATGTAAACAGCAGGTCATAGGTAGATAACACCACCAACAAAAATACCTGTCAGCACGGAGTCCTCAACTTACAACAGTTTGTTTAGTGCAGGGGCTCTTCAAACTTGACAGCTTCTGGACTTCAACTCCCAGAATTCCTTCTGACCTCCAGTCATGTTAGCTCAGGAATTCTGGGAGTTGAAGTCCACAAGTCTTAAAGCTTGCCAAGTTGGATGACCCTTGGTTTAGTGGCTCTTCGTAATTAAAACAGCATTTGGTGGGAAAAGTTGACTTATAATCGGATTTCACACTTACGACCAATGCAGCCTCCCCAGAGTGATGTGATTAAAATTTACATGAGCCTGGCAACTGGCTCACCTTTCTGAGAGCTGTGGTAGCCTGATTTTGTAACCTTTGGATGGAAGGGGAAGCCAGAGCCACTTAACAACCGGCGTTGCTAATTGAACCATTGCAGCGATTTTGATTAACCCCGGGGGTCCCCAAACTTGGCAACTTTTAAGACTTGTGGACTTCAACTCCTGGAAGTTGAAGTCCGCAAGTCTTAAAAGTTGTCAAGTTTGGAGACCTCAGGCTTTAACCACCGTGGCAAGGAAAATGGAACCAAATTCAACTTGACAACTGTCCCCGCTTAGCAACAGAACTTTTGGGCTCAGTCGCTGCAAGTCGAGGACTGCTTGTGCTCCTCCCAAAGGCCAGCTAACTAAAGAAAGAAGCATTGTCTTTGTAGTCCTGTTTTCTTTCTAACTAACCCCCTCAAAACACACACACACACACCCCCATTTGTCCCGAAGGTGTACTTACTTGCAAAACTTGAGGTTCTCGGCAAGAATCCATGTTCCTTTCCCCCCCTTAATGGCTTCTCGCTCGTCCTCTTGCTCTTCAAGCTTTTCCCAGCTCTTCTGGGTCACCCATAGCAGGAAACCCTCTCGGGCAGAGCGACCCTTCTTGGCATTTCCCCGTCCTCCTTCCTGCCCCGTCCTCTTCAAATGAGAGAAAGCAGGTCCCCAGCCGTCGCTCAGATGGTCTGGGCTGTGCCCACCCCGTGCCGGCGGAGGTGCCGCTTTCTCTCCACGCTCTCAGGATGTGATGTCAACCAGGCAAAGTGGCCGGAGCCAGAACAAACAAGTTGTTGTAAGTTGCCGCTCCTTTGCTCTCTGGAGCAACACCACAGTGGTGCTTCTCTCGGGAGAAGCCCCCAGGTGCCATCTTTTGGGCCCAGATATGGAAGGAGGGGCCTTCGGAGCTCCATCCTGGTAGTTTCCCAGATGTGTTTCCCAGATAGCCTGCAGCACAGAAGGGAGCTGCTTTTCCCCACCACCCCGCTTGGCCAAACATTAAAGAAAGCCTTGCTACACTGGGCCATGTTCAGATGTCATGGTGTGAACCCGGGCTGAGGCTCATTCTGCCAGTCCTCGTACTTTAGCTGCCATGGCCTAGATTCAGAGGCAGAGGTGGGATTCAGCCGGTTCTGCAGAACCGGTAGCGGAAATTTTGAGTAGTTCGGAGAACCGGCCAATCCCACCTCTGACTGGCTCCGCCTCCATCTATGCTCCACCTCCCGAGTCCCAGCTGATTGGCCGGGTCTTCCTTTGGTTGCCCTGCACAGGAGAATGGAGCTGGAAAGCAGGTTAGTGGGGTGGGGAAGGAAGGGGGATTTTGC